CAGTGTGTTCTGCTTAGACCTCCTTCATGAGTGGAGAAGGCCCCAGTGATCACATAATCACCCAGACCTGGAGCACGTCTCCAGATATCCCTGCTTCAGGGAACAGATGTTTTGGCAAAGTTTGCCGAGAAGGTAAATTAGATTAGCAAATTCTATTTCCTGTTTACTTCAACAGGGAGTCAGAGAGAGTATTTGACCAAGAAAATGTTGATGTAATTATAGTGAATTGATGAGTGTAGAATTTTTTTAATCATGTAAAGAAATTTCATTATAGTAAAACATTAACAATGATCCTCAAATTATCAGTTAAAAACCTGTGCTACCAAAATAATATATGAAAGTAGAATCCTAGTATGGTCTGTCATAGTCTAACATGCATCCAGCAAAAGCAAGTGCTCAGCACGACCAAGATGATTCAGCAACCGCAGGAGCCCTGCATGGCGAAGGCTGACCCTGGCGGTAGTGGCTACCTGCTGGGGCCAAGGGTGGCCCTAGAACAGGATGACCTTCTGCTTACTGTGAACCAGACAGAAGCTTTTTCACTTTGGACTTCCTTCCTTTCCCACCTTCAAAAGTGCCCTTGCTCCCTGGCCCATTGTCCCATGGTAAATCCTCCCCATTACTTAATCAAAATGTTCTGTCTTCCGGAAACATGCACCTCCCCAGCCAGAAGCCACCTCTCCTGGCCCTGTGAATGTGTGCTCACTTCTACCTTGCATTATCATTACTGTAATTTCTCTACCTTGTGAAATTATCTTTTACATCTATGTATCCACCCAATCCCAGCCCTAAGCCCGGGGCCTGGTTAATATTCAGGAAGTGTCCAGCAAATGCGCACTGTGGAAACAAGAAAGCCTCGGACCTCAGTGGCTCCAGCACCCACACAATGCTCACCCCCGCATGGCCAGCCCTCAGGACTTGCCATGCCTTTCTGCCTCCTGTTCTCTATTTCAGACCAAGACTCAGCTAGTCTAGAGGGTGTGGGAAAGAGAGGGCTGTGGCCACATAGCCCTATGGAACTTCTGTGATGTCTGGCTCCTGTTCCCCGCTGCCCATGTACTGCTGCTGTTCCCCTGTCTTTGATCAAAGAGAATCATGTGGTCCATGGAGTTATCAGAGGCCACTACAAGTCCCACAGCTCTGCCACTGTCTAAAGTCAGACAAATGAATCTCCCACCACGGGGAGTGGATTTTTCTTTGTTTTACATTACCAGGGATTGAAATCAGCAGAGCCTTCACACTGAGCTATACCCTGGCCATTTTTAATAATAATTTTATTTTGAAATAGAGTCTCGCTAAGTTATTAAGTTGCCCAGACTGGGCTCAAACTTGCCTTGGAGTGAATATCTAAATAGGAGAGTGAAGGACTGAATGAATGAGCATCCTCACTGCAGGGTCAATTCCTACCATTCTGAAACCTCCACTTGCTCTCTCAGGCCTCTGCTGCCCTACCAAAGGCCACATGCAGCTGTCCCTCATCCTCAGGGATCCCCTTATCATCAAGGCTCCATCCGAAATGCCATTGAAACTGTCAATGTGCTGAGCCTGTATATGCTAGTTTTTCCTATGTATATATATCTGTGATACAGTTTAGTTCATAAATTAGACACAGTAAGCAATTAACAACAACCAATAATAAAAGAGAGCAGTTATAATAATATACTGTAACAAACGTTACCTGAATGTGGCCTCTCTGGAATTTTCCATTTACTATTTGTGGACCAATGTTAATCTCGGGTAACTGAGACCACAGGTGGGATAAGACCATGGGTGGGGTACATGTGGAGCATTCTTCTTTCCCTTCTGTGGTTTGAGTGTGCTGGTGTCATGTGCTGCTTCCCTGCAGCAGAGTTTCCTACACCCCAGGCAAGGGCTGAGTGTGGGCTAGATACAGGGCCCCGTGGTAGTAAGGTCATCCAGCCCTGAGAGGACAAGGAATAAACAGAAAATGAGGCCAGGGATGGTGGCGCATGCCTGTAATCCCAGCACTTGGGAGATTGAAGCTGGGGGATTGCCGCAAGTTGAAGGCCAGCCTGGGCTACACAATGAGCTCAAGGCCAGCCTGAATTGCATAGTGAGACCCTGTCTCAAAAAGACAAAAAAAGGAAGGAAGGAAGGAAGGAAGGAAGGAAGGAAGGAAGGAAGGAAGGAAAGAAGGAAGAGAAAGAAAGGAAGAAAGAAAGAAAGAAAGAAAGAAAGAAAGAAAGAAAGAAAGAAAGAAAGAAAGAAAAGACTGAGTTGGAATAACCATTGTGCTCCAGTGTCTGTTTCTTTACCCAACTGAAACTGATGGCCGGCCAGGGTGGTGAGCCAGCTGAGAACTGAGTCAGGTGGGCAGAGCGCTGCTATAACTTTTCTGTAGGGTTTCCCTGCCAACCTCCACCCCGCCATTTCCTGGCATAGGCAGGTAGTCCAGGGAGAGCCAGACTGTAGCCTGGCTCAGCCCACAGCATGCAATTTAGTAGGCCTCCCCAAGCAACCAGGCAGGATTCCAGAAAATTCTAGAAACCTCTGGAACACTGCTATAGCTGTCAGGTGCAATGCTTCTGGAAGCCCCTGAGCCTTCTATGTTACTACTTAATGAAATCTCTTTCCAAGGCTGTTCCAGTACCCTGGTGCAGATACAGGAGCAACCCCGCTAGGACTGGATGCAGATAGTTCTGTCACAGTGTCATCAGCTCTGCATGAGACCTACAGAGTAGATCACAGACTTGCACCGTAACCTTTCCATTCACCTCTGATGCTGTTTGTAAGCAATCTATGATTCAGCAAATCCAGACCTTCCTGGTTAAAATGCTTTTTAAAAATAATTTCATGCATTTTAAAGGAACATGCTGGCTGTTATTTGTGTTCTCCTTATGCCACAAATGTTTAGATACGGAAACAAAAAGGTAATGACTGAGCCGGCACTCCGTGGACTCCCCAACTGCACACACGTTCCTTGAATGAGGCTTGCATTCAGCACTGGGAACAGCAGGGTCTTCCTGAAAGTCAAGTTCTATCAGGCTGGAGAGCCAGCAGCTTTCAGGAGCCAAAAAAAACGAGTCTCGAAACCAACAAGCTCTACTTAGTGTTTACATATATTTCTTTCTTCCCTGCATGTGTCATCAACAACAAAAAAAATTCTTTGTTACCTGCAGAATCTTTATAGCACAAAGTACCGTACTGCAGCATAGCTGGCGGGGCCATGGAAGTATCTCAGCTGCCTGAAACAGCACCCGGGCCTTTGTCCAGTGTGTGTCAACCCCAGCCAAGAGACACATGGGCTCCTGGGTATGGGGTGAGGGGGCTGCCTGGAGCACATGAATTCCATCACTTCCTGCAGATGGACATCTGAGTCCAGGGATATTGCTGCACTGGGTTTGGTTGAGTCCATGTAAAGAAATCCTTGGGGGCATTTTTTTTTTGGGGGGGGGGGGTCCTAACCCACGACCGGGGTAATGGCCATGCTCAATTTTGCCTTTCACATTTTAATTGTACAACAGTAATTTTGCAATAGAGTTGCCGATGGCAAACATGCAAAAGACATTAACTTTATTTATGTTTTGGATTATTAATGTGGCTGTTAAAATTCCTCCAGTTAGTTTTGATTGAATTGTTTTTTTGTGTGATTCTGTTGTTTAATGGAGCGGTAAATAAGAATTTCTGATAATGAGGCTGAGCATCTGTCACAGCAACCTGGTGTGGGTTATTAACATTTCCATTAACGGCAGGGTGGGCAGTGATAATATGGAAACCACACAGTTAGAACAAAATAAATAGTCGGTGTCAGGCTGAGCGGGTGTTAATTACTATTTTATTCTACACTGGGGGGAGCAGAAAGTGGGGAGGGGGCGAGGCGGAAGGGTGACTTACGAGGTCGTTCTCTCCCCAGAAGGCCTCTCGGCCTGGGTGCTGGCCATCTCCCCAGACTGTGACTGTTTGGTCACCTGTGTTTATAAATAGACTGAATCCAAAGGCAGCTGGCCCTCCTGGAGGGCAGGCCAGGAGGATTGCAGGAGGTAAAGGGAACTCAGCTAGCTTCTGCTTTCCCAGAGTCAGGAATCCAAGAAAGACTCCACACAACTCCCCAGGGTCCAGCCTGGCCCCAGTTTCCATCAGGAGTGTCCAGATGGGAGAAGGGAGTAGCTCCCAGGAGGTAAAGAACAGATCGTCATGAAAAAGTACCCAGCATGGACTTAAGAGACAGCATGAAGCTGGCAAGACAGAGAGGACAGAAATGTTCCAGAACGTGGCACATACAGTCTGCTGTGACCTTGACATGGTACCGAGGAGGGATCACCTCCCACTGGGAGGGAGGCGAGGAAGGGAGGATTTGGTACTCAGAATCTGCAGCCAGAGCCAGGCCTCAGAGCAACTTGTAGCCATGTTCATAGAAACCCGATTCCTGCTCCTTAGGAAGGCGTAGCTCCGTGATATCCCTACACTAGCTCTGTCTAGAATGAAGCACTATACCCAGGACACCTAAGCTTGTGACAATAGCACAGACCTCTTCATTCCTGTAACCTCTGCCCCAAACTCAGCCTTTCCCCAATCAGGAATGTTAGCACAGCAGTACCTGTGGCGCCCAAACCCCAGGTGCCACTGGGACCTCCAGGTGTCCACCACACTCATGACTGCTTTGATCTCGCAGCACATGTCAGACCATCCCCTGAGCCTGTGCCCTGTGTTCACCAATATCATGTTTGTTGTTGAGTATTCAGTTAACTTACCTAGTAAAATCAGTTTTCCCTGCAATTCTATATATTTTATTTGTGGATGTAGGACTGTGCTAGCAGAGCTTGTAGCATTCCCTGGTACCGTACAGGGCTTACTAAGATCTGCAGTGATGCAGTGTGGAGCTGCCTGAGGCTTCCCAAGCTGGGTGATGTCCAGGGCAGTCTCCTATGCTGTCCTTCACGGAATTAGGACTTATGTGACCCCTGGGGGTGTGTGGTGGTGGTCCCAGCTGGCTCATAAAGAGACATCCCAGTTACCCTCATGTCCTCTTCTTCCCTCAGCCCCAGCGATGGCCCCACAGAACATCCAGGTGACCCCACTCACAGCCAGCCAGCTGGAGGTCACATGGGACCCGCCGCCTCCAGAGAGCCAGAACGGGAACATCCAGGGCTACAAGGCAAGCTGGTGGGGGTGGCTCTTCCTTCTGCTCACTGTGCGCCCGGCAGGAAGCCCGAGGGCTTCAGCTGGGATGCTGGCCCTGCTCCAGGGCGCTGCCTGCTTACTGTGCCCTGCTGCTTTCTCAGCAGCAGATGGACAGCAGACACAGCCTGGAGGCCAGGCCCTGGGTCAGAGCTACTGGGCGAAGAGGCGGGTACTCACTGAGGCTGCTTTTGCCCATCACAAAACAATGCAGGTGGCAGCTTCAGTTCATCCAAAGGTGCTGAGGACTTGTCCCTGCTCTGGACACTGGGCCTTGCAGTGGGAACCTGGCCTCTTCCTATGTCTACCCTCGAACCTGCAGCCCCACTTGCTATTAGCAGCAAGAACCAGGGTGTCCTGAAAAGAATATGCTCTCAATCCCAGCATTGCACTGGATCACTACTGGACGTTATTCTCAATTCACTGAGTGAAACTCCGGGAGGAGGCCCGAGAATTGCATTTCTAATGAGTCTGCAGGTAGTATGGATTCTGGGATCCCCATTTTGAGAGTCACTGACTGAGCTAAATGCAGTAAAGACGGAGAAAAAGAAAGGCAGTCTAGTGTACCACATATTGGGAGGGACGATTACACAGAGTGGTTTATCCAGCGGCAAGTGCTCCTGGCTGCTTCCCTACCCTAAGACATAGGAGCCCTGAATACCACGAAAGGCCCCTGCAGAAAATACCCACATCCTTCCCCAGAATTAATGTCCTTGTCTGGCCTCCAGGAGCCCCAGTTGATCAGTTACCAGATTCTCTGGGCTTGCTTTCCCTGATGACTATTGGGCCAATTAAATGTCCATTTAAAAATGATTTTTGTAGGTGTTTTATGAAAATTAATACCTTCCTCCATGGCAGGGCTGTTACACTGATTGATGAGGTACTGGAAGGTCCTGTGAGCCCGGAGGCCAGGTGCTATTTATGTATGTCCAAAATATGTTTTCTCATTTCCTTAATGATAAAGACATTGAACTTGGATATTGATCACAAGTTAGCTGGGGCTATGTGAGTGCAGGATCCTCTCTGGTCAGCTCCCCTATGTCTTGCAGTTGGAAATCAGCCACACGTACCAGTCAGGCCTTGCCCCTCACAGCTGTGAGCTGGGGGTGTGCAAGGTGGGACACTGGCCTCAGCTTCCCCAGTGCTCCACATCACATCTGTGTTGCTTGTACACCCAACACATGCTGCTCTCGGGGCCTGGCTGGGGCTTAGGCGCATGAGCCAAGATGGACCCACAGACTGGTGTTGTCTTTGGGCAGCTCAGCTGGCACTGGCTGGAGCAGTGGTTCCCAGCCAGCTGTCTAGGGAAGCAGTTCTGGCAGCCAATTCAAACCTTTGTACTTAGACATGAAGTTTACCTGTGAGCATATCAAAGCTACCTGGGAGGAAATGCTATCCAAGGGAGACATGGGCTTTCCCACCAGGTCCGAGCCCAGTGTGGATCTCTTGTGATTTTGCTGCTTTAATTTTCAAAGTATTTTTGCCACATGGAGCAAATATTTGGCTATAGGATTTAAACAAACTGTGAGAATGTTTGGGAGGTGGGAGTTTGAGGCTCATTCTGTGGATGGGTCAGAGCAGGGCTAGACAGTGGGTGGTCATCTTCCTGCGGGACAGGACAGAGGCACACAGTGGGGTGAGCGCTATAACACAGGCCCAGGACTAATGGCTGAAGGGACGAGGCCTCTGTCCTCTGGCCCCACTTTGAGCAGTTTGACTGAGTGGTGCAGCTGACAACTCAGAAGCATAACCCATTGCCTGACAGCACTAGCAGCAAGGACCTGCATCCACCCCACCAGGCACCATGCTCCCTGCTCCCTCAGGAGAGGGCTGTCACAGTCCTCCTGGCACACAGCCCAGCCTCATCTCAGGGCTTCCCCATGCCCGCCCTCAGCCTTGTCTTTTCCTGCCAGATCTACTACTGGGAGGCGGGCAGCCAGAACGAAACAGAGAAGATGAAGGTCCTATTCCTCCCCGAGCCCACAGTGAAGCTGAAGAACCTGACCAGCCATACCAAATACCTGGTCAGCATATCTGCCTTCAACGCTGCCGGCGACGGGCCCAGGAGCGACCCCCGGCAGGGACGCACCCATCAGGCCGGTAGGTGGGCACCACTTTCCTCTCTGCAGGCCTTGGTTGGACTGACTTTGAGATCTCTGGCTTGTGTCACTGCCCTGGTAGTCTCTGGGGCCCCTGGTAGAGCAAATTGCCCTTTCTCTTGGTTTCCACAGCTTTGCTCTGCCTGACCTTCACATCCCCAGCTGGGGATCTGGGGAAGAGAGGCAGGACTGGGTGTGATTCACACTTCCCCAGTGCCTGGCCTGGCATGGTGCTAGGTCAGTGCTAGACGATGATGGAAGGAACTGGACATGTTTTCTCCGGACCCCAAGAGGGTAGCAGAGGGAGGAAGGATTCGTGTTTCCAGCTTGGCCTCATTCCTGATGCTCAAGGTGCCATCCAGAGCCACCTCACCGTTTGTGCAGATCGCTGGGGGCTGAGCTCCTTGTACGTGGAAGCCAGGCCCAGGCCAGGTGCTCCTGGGTTTTCAGCCCACACGCCACCCCTAGAACAGCCACATACGTGGGCCAGGTCTGACAGCAGATGGAGCTGTGCCGTGGAGCTGCCCTGCTGGAAGGCCCAGGCCAATAGGGCCCGGCACATGTACAACAGGCCACCCTTTCAGTGCACCTCCGTTTCTAGTGGCCTGGTGATCAGCAATCTCCCCAAGAAATGGAAGCCTAGCTTTGGATCCTGGGGCTTTCAGTGACCCTATGTGAGACCCAGGCTTGGGAGACTGTGGATGAAGATGCAGGGTTCAGATATCCCCAGTGTTTGGTGAGTGGTGTCAACAGACTGATACTCCACCCAGAAGACTGACCCCTGGCCAGCGCGCCTGACACATCTCGGGGAGACAGCTACACCAGAGTGCGAGGGCTGCCTCCTTCTTTCCTCGTCCAGTACCACAGGCCAGTTTGGGACTCTGAGTTGGAAGAACATGGACGATTGGTGGAGCAGAGTGCAGGGTTGAGCCTCTTTGGGACACTGGAATGTGGTGGTTTGTGGACTAAAGGACCCAAGGACAGGCAGAGCAGACAGAGGGTGGGTGCCACTCTAATGGGTGCTTCCAAGCAGCAAGAGGTATGGGATGGAGGAGACCAGCTGCCCAGCAGCCTGTTGGGGGTGAGAGGACAGCCTAGTACACGGCCATCTGCACAGAGCCCAGGCAGAGGGTGTGTGAGTGGCCCTGCCGTGCTCCCAGTCACACACTGGCCTTCATTCCCACCAGCAGCTTCAGGTACCCAGCCAGCCACCTCCTGCTCAGCCCTGCTGCCTGAGCCTGCAGTGTCAAGAGGTTTAGATGAAGGAATAGGGGCATCCTCTGAGACCTCTGGACCCCTGTGAGAGGGGAAAGGAGGGAGGAGGGGAGGAAGACAGGGAGGAGGAAAGGCCTTGCTCACCACGGAGCACCACCTGTCCCTGAAAGAGCAGGGCAAGAGTCCCTGGAACTGTCCGGTAGTCTCTGCAAACCGCCATAAGCATGTCATTTTGTTTCCATCCATTATTCATTTTCAAGCTTTTGTCAGCCCACCTCTCGGCTCCTTTGTGTTTGAGTCTGTCATTTTCTCCGCCCTGTGTTTCTGATTGATCCTGGGAAGTTCGGAGGTGATCAATGCGTCTCCTTTTCATTCTGTGGCATTTAGACATTTACTGGGTTGAAAATAACACCTAATAACATTTCCTTTCCTATGTGGAGGCGCAGGTGCGTGTGTGTGATCCATAAAGGCGCCATTGTGAAAGTCACTACAGTGTTCTCCGTCCTTCCAGCTCCTGGGGCCCCCGGCTTCCTGGCATTCTCAGAAATCACCTCCACCACACTGAACGTGTCCTGGGGGGAGCCGGTGGCGGCCAACGGCGTTCTGCAGGGCTACCGAGTGGTATACGAGCCCTTGGCGCCTGTCCAAGGTAAGAGCAAAGGGTTCAGGAGTGGGCACCACACTCCCTCACTGCTAGGAACCCAGGACTGCCCTGCATGTCCAGGTTCAAGGCAATGCATGCCCCTTGGAATCATACCATGAACCTTCCTTGACCTAGTCCCTAATGCCCAAAATATCTCTTTTCTCTCCCTCCTGATTCTAGTCCATATCATCCCTGACAGAAGTATCCTAAGTTCTACTCCAGCACTGACCTTCCAAATACCATCTACCTCTTGGAGGAGGTGCAAATGCCCGGCACTCCTTCATGCTCTGGCACCCCCTCCCCTTCCCCCACACACTCAGCAGTTATTCATTAAGCACCCACTGCATGCCGAGAGCTGTGTAAGTGCTGGAATCCACTGACCCAGGAAAGCAAGGATCTTCACTGACTTGTGTACTGAGATCCTGCTCTCCCAAGTTCAGAGAGTTTCTATTCCAGGAAGAGAAAGACAGTACTCAAATAACTAAATCACCAAGCAGAAATCTGACAGTGACAGGGGCTTTGAGAAAGAAGGATGCAGTAACGGGAGTGTGTGGGGCTGGGAAGGCGCTGAGGGTGAGGGAAGACTCGCAGTGCCGATGCCTGAGGGGGAACCTTCCACAGAAGTCTCACTGCGCAGTCTGAGGGTAAAGCTTGGGTCGCCCTGTAGAGAGCATACCACCGACCAGAGCTTTCCAAGGTGGTCTGGAGTTTCCTGGGGAAGGAAAGTGGAGCACAAGGACCAACTGCTACGAAGCCAGGGTCCTCCTGGCTAAATACCACCCGCTGAATGCCACGGGATGCAAAGAAGATTATTGATCAACCTAGAACGTCCTCCATCAATCAGAAGCAGACCCCCAGAGAGTGCAGAAGGAGAGTCAAGACACAAAGGAGCCTGAGCTAAGGCACCAAAAAGGCTTGAAAATGAATAATAGATCAAAACCAAAGAGGGAATCCAATTGGCTGCTGGGAGAATGGGTTGCAGGGATCAAGGAAGTCCAGATCTCCAAGAGCAGCTGAGGCAGCAGGGAGCTGGGCAGAGGACAAAGGGTAAGGAAGGTAGAAGTGGAGGTAAGGGTGTTTTCTGAGAGCAAAGCTGATGGAATCCACCCAGGGACTGCAAGAAGGGGTACCTGAGGGGTCAGAGTGTCACCTGTCTCCAGTATTATTTTAATTCCATCCGTGGCCATCTGTCTGTCCACTGGATTACTAATGTGCCCACTGAGAGCCCTCTGGCATTTCTTCTCTCCCCGTCGTACACCTAGAGATGAGTCCAGCTGTCTCTGCCCCATGCTATAGGGCAGGTTCCCCCCAGTAATGTACACAGACAGACTGTAAAAATTATAGATTTTTAATGTCTAGGAGGAAAAATATAACCAGTACATCAAATAATATTGGCTCTCCATTTAAAGCAGTGATAAAAGTTTCCTTTTAAAATAAGCACATTCAGATAAAACAGGGAGGTGATTTGAAGGAGGACATTTAAGCACTGGATTTTATTTCACCGAATCTAAGATGCCATTGACTGTAAGATTCATTGTCATTTTATGACATGCTAAGGAAGAAAAAATGCTTCCAATAAACTATGGCCCAGTAGTTCCGTACTGTCAATTCTGAGCTGCATCCCAAATCAGAGATGTGAACACTGAGAAAGAAAACCAAAGTGTGCCTGAGACGATCGATGAGCTTCGCTGAGTGATAGTGGGGAGATCTGTGGACACGGCGTTCTCAGAGTGCAGAGCAAGCACCGGAGGGATGCTGAATTGTCCCGGCCCCTGCTCAGCTGTGCTCTGTGTCTGGGAGCTGTGTGGCCCTGACGTGGCTCATTTGAGGTTGCAGGGGCAGATGTGCAGAAGGGGACCAGCCTGTTGTTCTGTGCATTGCACAGGGACACCTTCCACCCTGCCCGCCACCATTCCCTCCCCTTCACACACACACACACACACACACACACACACACACACACACAAGTCCATGTTTCATGAGCCCGTGTTATCAATGTGTTTTACAAGAATATTAAGCAAAGAGAGCCATTGAAATGAGAAATGATTACCAAAAGACCAGGGTTCCAATTTGCCTATGAGTCCTTCCCAATCAAAGACAGCTTGAGTCTTCCCATTCTTCCTCAAATAAGCAGCTCACTAGGATGCCCTGTCCTGTGGTAGTGGGCTGCAGAACCCCGAGGTCCCTACAGCATGCACCCCTGAGCCCTCCCCATGGGCAGCTACCCTTGGCCTTATACAAGAGCAGTTGCTCCCCAGACCAGATAGGCCCACTCAGCATCCTCAGTTGGAAATTCCACATGTGATCTCTTAGCATATTGTGAGTCCCTCCTCCCTGCGCTCTACTTTTCTCAGTTGCTTCTGGGCTCCTGTAAAACCTCCCAACCACAGTCTCTGAGGGATATGACCCACACTGCTGGTTTCCCACGTACTGCCAGGGTGGAGTTCCTTTCCCATCACAATCATTTTGCATTGATGGGAAAGTCAGAGGGCATCTGAAATGTGTCATAGACGACCACAGTCATTATGTTCAGTGCACGTGTGGCTTTCTGTGTGCACCCTGTCACCAAGACCTCACCAGTGCCATAGACAGGCAGCTGTGTATTTCATGCTTATTACAAACGGCACACTGTGCTATGCATGTTCCAGCCCCAAATCCCCGAACTGCTGCCTCAGTTCCCTTGCTTAGGCCAAGAAACCTTTTGTAGAGCCCTTAGTTCACTTTCTCCAAACTTGCATTTGGAGAAGAAAGAAAGAAAATGGAATTTGAATGCAGGTGGCCCTATTCCAAAGCCAGGCTCCACTGCTTGTGCAGAGGAAATGTCTGGAGTGCTGCGTTTCTGGAAGCGAATGTGGAGGTGAGCGACAGAGACGGAGCGCCAGGAGGATCTGTCACAGCAAATCTCCATACTGCAGACAAACTGTGGACTGCACAGCAGGTGTGGGTTTGTCACTTGCCCCAAGTGACAACAGGAGGATCACTTCACCCGCAATCATTTTCTTCACAAGTCATAAGACCGTCTGTCACTGGCATTGTCCCTGTCTGTCTCCGAGGGCTGGCTTTGTCCTCTGTGATGTCTCTGCTGCTTGCTCCATGCTGGGAAAGTGGAGGGGAGGAGGGCGAGCTCTTGGTCTTCATGGCTTGCACTCAGCCTGCACGTCAGGTCAGGTCAGAGTCTCAGCAGATACAGCCCACAAAGAGCAAATCACCACAGGTTCTGACCTGGTGCGGGCCTGGGCATGTTCCCTCCTTCCTGATCACTGCACATCTGCCCTACTGACCCAAGGCGTGCGGGCTGAGCTGATCACAGTGCTGGGGCACTACGGCCCCCAGGACAGGTGCACCTGTGAGTCGGGCTCCCAAAGACTCCCTCCGCCCCGACTGTTGGATCCGGATTTCCAACAGGGAACTGCTGAAGTAGTAACTGGATCTCTATATGATTTTCAGTATTTTAAAATGTCTCCTAGGAGCTGCATGTTTCTCGAGACATGTTTGCAAGCATAGTGAGAACACCCAGCATCTTTGTTTGGAGTAGAGTTGTATTCACTCTGCAGTAAAGGTGGCTCTCTTGTGAAGGCTGCCAAAGATGAGACAGACATGTTTATGTGTGTGAAGGTGAACTGCTACAGGCTTGAAGTGTGCTTTGCAGACAAAAATCTTTAGCATGTGCTACAGATAGTTTTCAAAAAGGGGGGAAGGTTGTCCAACAGTGGTCTTGCCTGCTAGTGATGGTTGGTGGATGCTCAGACTTGTCCTCCTGGCAGAGACGACTGTGAAACCCTGGTATGTGGCACTGACCGGCCAGGCCAAGGGAAGCAGAGAACACTACCCTTACCCAGTGCTGTCATCCCATCAGAAAGATAGTCCTGGGTCATCCTGTGTGCTGAGATGAGCCCACAGGCATGGCTGGCCAGTCCCTGGCCAGTGCAGAGACCACCATGCCACTAGACCACCACGCCACCCAGACTACTAAACCACTGGACCGCTAGGCCTCCTGGAACACCGAGACGCCTGCAGTGCTCCACCAGCCTGTTCCTTGGAATCTGGTCTGATGGCAGAGCTATTTTTATGTTTTTAAAGATGTTTTAAACAGAAGTATTTTATGGAATTGCACCCTGAGGCTTTGTAGTACAGGATGTGGTTTAAAAATTGACTAAATAAATAAAATTCAGACACACTTGAGGTGGAGGGAAAGCCAGATTGGCTCTACCTCCTAGTGGGATCAAGTTTACAAAATCTGCGCATGGGTTTGTTTTTGCTCTGAAGAGAACAAGGTCATTTTTTTAACATCAGAAAAAGAAGCTGCTGGCAGAATAACTTGGGATCTGACAGCGCCTAGTTCATCTGAGGGTGACAGTCATCATGTTTCCCTGGTTGCCCTTGTGACCTCTTTCCTGAGCATTGTGTATAAGGTTTTTCAGGCTCTGTGAGCAGCAAAGGCCCCATTTTTGTACAGAAAAACCCAAATATGGAAGGTCAATCAAAATCAGCCAGAATCACTCTGAAAGGGCTGGGGATTTAGCTCAGTGGCACAGCACCTGCCTGGCAAGCGTGAGGTCATGAGTTCGATTCCCAGTACCAGAAAAACAAACCAAAAAAAAAAAAAAAAAAAAATCACTCTGAAATAATTTGGAAGAAAATAATTTTGCTGAAAACTTGTGTATAAGAGGCATAATATGGAAATAGTGAACCAGTTGGAAGACATTTCAGAGACCTTAAGGATTAGAGAAATTTGCTCTGATGGATTGGAATGCTGGTGGAGAGAAGGCACTTTGTTCTGCTTCTCTGAAACAGACCACTGAAGTTACAGGTGCCAAACAGGGGGATGTAGTTCAGTGTGAAGGCTCTGGGTTCAAACTGCAGTATGGCTAGATGAATGACTGAGCTGAAGAGCACCATGTGTCCTCCTGCACCAGGGCAGGCCACCCCCGGATGCTGTGTCTGGTAGTGACAGGGCAGTTAGTCCCAGGGCAGGAGATGCCACCCACCAAGCGCGGAAGGCAGTTCTGCTGAAAAGCTGCATCCTCTACACTCCTCCAAGAAAGGCCTGACAGGGACTGGCCCACTGAGAGCTCTGAGAGGTCTCATAGTTAAGAACTCACTTAACATTTTTTAAAAAATGCATCATCTTCAAACTTATTTAACCAAAGACCCTCATTTTCCCTTCTGGAAAATACCACTTTGTATAATTTTTAGTATTTATCCTTCCCCCAACACACACAGATACTAAATTTCAATTTTCTAGTTACACGATAATCTTTCTTACCCATTGTTTTGCTTTCTGCAGTTCCCATTACTTGGAGTCAGTTGTGGCCTGGAAACATTAGAATGGAAATTCGAGAAGTAAACAGTACACTAAGTTGTAAGCTAGGCCCCATTTGGAGTGGTATGATGAAATCTCCTGCAGCCTATCCCATCCTGGTTGGGATGTGAATTGTGCCTTTGTCCAGTGTATCCATCATCTGTATGCTACCCACCCCTTCATCACCTGGTAGCCATCACAGCTTCCATGAGGCTGTCCAGGAAACCCTATTTTACAAGAGCCCCAGAGTGCAAAGGGGCACCATGGCACCAAACAAGAAAGGACAAGTTGACTCTGGTACTTAGTGGCAACACTGCAGGGCGCCCAGGGAAAACCCAGTGTGCCTGAGAGCTAGTACGACACACAGCTCTAAGTAGACATAAGGTGCCTTGGAATGTGTCTCCCATCAATGGAGGTGTTCCTGTACTTAATTCAGTCAGCAATCTTTTTGCATTGCTCACTGTCTCTATTGTCATTGTTCTTGAATCGAGGCATCAATACTTACAGTGATAAATTTCTTTATCTTAGCTTCAAGGGCCACAGATGACATTCTCACAAGTTTTTGAGCCTGTAGGCCACAAGTTGGCCAGTCCACAGACCACAGAGCCCTCATGGAGGAGCCTACCTCTTACCTAATCCAGTATATTTCTGGGTGTCTTCTGTACCCTTCTCTTCCTTGTGCCTGAACCTTGAGGCTCATGTCATCTACACAAATGACTCAGGATTTGGTACAGCTCAGGGCCATGTGGGAAGGGGGCCCTCTCTGCAATGCCATCTCGGGAGCCTGTACTGAGACAGGCAGGAGAGCGCCCCTGCCCATGTCACCCATGTGTTGGACAAGTGTCCTCCCTCCTTCCAGAGTTCCAGTGAGTTAGGCCATCTCTCCCAGGCATTGTGGGTTGGGTTCTTTTCTTTGTCGGCACTACTTATCAAACTTAAATTCTAATTACACTTATCTGTGCTGAAAATTGGCCCTAATCACCGCTTAAACTCCTCCTAATTGTCAGAACCACTTCCTCAGCCAACTGCAGGCTGTTCTCCTGGTTATCACCGCAGATCAGACAGTGCTGGATTGCTCCTCGGGGCCCAGCGCCTTCTCCTTTTTGCTTTTTGCTGGTCCAGGTGTGAGCAAGGTGGTGACGGTGGACGTGAAGGGGAATTGGCAGCGCTGGTTGAAAGTGCGTGACCTCACCAAGGGAGTCACCTACTTCTTCCGGGTCCAAGCACGGACCATTGCCTACGGGCCTGAGCTCCAAGCCAACGTCACAGCTGGTCCCGCCGAGGGTGAGTGGGACTTGGGTGACAGGTGGGCACTGGTCATACCTTCAGTCTCACCTCTGGTTTCACGGAGCTGAGAATTTGTCTAGCTCCTCAGCCTAGCCCTTCTGGCAGGGCAGAGCTGCAGAAGCTTGGGATATTTGGGCAACGTGGAGGTCTGCAAAGGAAGGGCGTCCATGCAGGTGGGCTCCTCATATGTGAGTGAGCAACTTCTCATGTTGCGTGGACATGTGTGTTTGTTTAATGGGAACACAAGCAAGAGAAAATATAGTGGTATCTCAGTTCATGAACGCTTTTGTTTGGTTCACAAACAGAAGTGTTAGGCAAAATTTTGTTTTTGTTTGCAAATTCTGCATTGGGTGATGAACAGGACTGCATCTGTCTCTCCCACACTAACACAAACATGGCCATCTTTTCCAGAATTATGGAATGATGAAGTTCGTGAACTGAAATGAATTCAATTTTTGAAATAAAATTTAAAACTTTTCGCATGTCACAGGAAGGACTCTGGAACTTCCCACTTAGCCAGCTCTTCACCTTTGCTTAGACACTGATGCAGCCATAGCACAGGACAGTATGAGGGAGTATAGGTGCTGGGTGCTCTTCCTGTACCATCTCTTTCTGACCTCTGATCACTTCCTGATTTTTCTTTTAGTCTTGAGAATTGAACCCAGGGCCTTCACACTGAGCTACATCCCTAGCCCTTTTTATTTTCTTTTAATTTTTAATTTTTTTTTAAATTTTGAGACAGTGTCTTGCTAAATTGCTCTGGCTGGACTCAAACCTGAGACCCTCCTGCCTCAGTCTTCCAGAGAGCAGAGATTACAGATGTGCTCCACCACAACCAGCTCACTTCCTATTTTTAGGATGAAGTCCATCGTAGAATGAGGGTTGGTAACCTGCCTGGAGGGCTAGGAATCTAGAAGACCTGGCCTCTCACTGGAGGATGACCAGTTCCCCCAAGATCAATGGCTCTATTCTTCTCTCTTTGTCCTGCAGGGTCCCCAGGTCCCCCTAAAGATGTTTCAGTCACCAAGTCCACCTCAGACCTGACCCTTCAGTGGACAGAGGGCAGCCCTGGAAGCACACCCACCACTGGATTCGTCATAGAGGCCAGGCCTTCAGGTAGGCCGTGCGCACCCGGGAGCAGTGGGGTCTCGGCCTGTGGCGGGCAGTGATGTGGAGCTGGGGCCGGGAGGGGTGAAAGGAAAGGCCCATCCTCCTGCTCCTCCTGTGTTTCTGTGACCACAGCTCTGCTGTGACCTCACAGCCATCAAGTCACGGTGCATTAGGTACGGGACTCTTGCCAGGAGGATGGCAAGTTTCATTCTCAGAAACAGGCGGGTGGCAGCTGAAGGACACTTTGAGATTCTCAACCAGACCCGAGAGTGTCTTTAGGGACTCACCTCAGGGGTCAGACTCTGGCAAACGCAGACAAAGACATGCCCTGCCTAATAATTACTAATATTCTTGGGCTTCTGAAAATCAGCTCTAAGATCAGCTGCTGCTCTGCCTTTCACCCACTTATTTCCATTCTACATCTTTCATCTTGTTCACTTTTTATTTTCTATTAATGCATCTTAATCATACACATTACAGGGATTCGGTGTGATATTCTCACATACTATACTGTGCCCATTGCTCATAGCCAAGCACTTGTTTTCCACACAACATACCCAGCACCTTCCCCATCCCTATTCTCCTTCCAGGTTGACTTTTCTTAGTTTCCACATTTGCAAGAAAACATGCAGTATCTGTCTTTGTAGGTCTGGGTTATTCCATTTAACATAAGGTCCCCTCGTCCCATCCATTCTACTGCAAATGAAAGGATTTCATTCTTTATAACCAAGTAATACTCCATTATGTACCTATACCACACTTTCTTTCTCCATTCTTCTGCTGATGGGCACTAGGCTGTGTCTGTATCTTGGCTATTATGAGTAATTCCCTTTGGATATGACCCAACAGTAGGATTGATTGCTGGGTCATGTTGTAGCTTTAGCTTTTTGGGAAACCTCTGTACTGTTCTCCATAGAGGCTATGCTAATTTACATTCCCACCAATGGCATAAAGGAAAGAGTTCCTCTCGGCTTTCATAACAAAGTGTGGACATTATCAGAAAAAGGAAATTTCTGATGAGTTGAGCAGGACATGGCTGCTGGAAGCAGAAGGCACCTCCAAGCAGAGACTTCATGACCTCCAGAGGGTGCCACTGTGAAGAGGAGCACCTTAGGCTGAGCAGAGTGATCTGTCAGGGTGTCTTCAGAAGGGACAATGGGCCACCTGCCGGGTAGACTGCAGCCCAGGAGTCAGTTGGGTCCAATATGTAAAGAGGCCGTTAGACCAAGAGGAAAGACCTAGCTGGAAAGATCAGCATGTTCAGAGATGTCCCTTCCTTCCCCACCACCAAATTACATTTACAAGGTTACAAGTTTGAAGTGCCTTCTGGAAACTTCTAAAGAGGACCGAGTATGTAAGACCTTGTTAGGCCACTGACAAAAAGACTTGTAAGACTGAAAGGCAGCCTGACAAATTCTTTGGCTCAGAAATACATGAATTTAGCTGGGTGTGGTGGTACACGCCTGTAATGCCAGCACTCTGGGAGGTTGACAAAGGAGGATGCCAAATTTGAGTCCACTCTGGGCAACTTAGTGATTTAGTGAGAGCCCACCTCAGTGAATGAATGAGCTGAAGGCGTAGCTCACTGCAAAGGCTCTGGGTTCAATCCCTAGGACTGCCAAAAAAAGAATTCATGACTTTAGGCTGCTGAGGCGGGCCCTGCTGTTGTCTGCTGAGCAAAGCATTTGGCCAGCTCAGAGACAGAGGGCCCCAAACCAATGAAGAGTCTTGGACCTCTGTGGTCACTGGGTCCCCCACATCTCTGAAAGCAGCTGGACCACAGAGCAGCCACGTGCTGTCTACCAATAACATTTGATGTGAGACAAAGAGCTGGAGCCCAGTGGGAGGTGACTTGGTCCTTGGGGATATGGCCTGGAAGGGACTAATTCCGGTCTTATGGAGTGAATTCCTTTGCTAAGAGTGAGACGTTTTAAAGGACTGATGCTGGCCCTCCCACTCTCTGGCCTCTGTCTCACCTTGTGATCCCCACTCGCACATGCCACTACCCCAAGATGCCATTCCCATGTTGTGATACAGCCAGGGAGGCCTTCACCAGAGCCAAACAGCCACCAGCACCCTGCTCCTGAATCTCCAGTGCTGTGAGCTTGAGTAGGCCTTTCTTTTATAAAGTACACAGACTTGGGCATTTTTCTACAGCAACAGAAAATGGACTTATGGACCAGACTTAGGGGTAAAATTCAGCAGCTCTATAAACTTGGATGGGAACAAAACCCACAGTTGTATTTTTATTAACCTCTAACTGAGATTTAGCATTTCTGTTCCTTATGAATGAGGGGTATTGCTGTACCAGGGTCATAACAAACTGCCACAAACTGGGCAGTTTAATCCACAGAAATCTTTTGTCTTGCAACTCTGGAAACTGGAAGTCCAAGACCAAAGTGTCAGCAGAGTTAATTGCTTCTTATGACTGTGAGGAAAATTCTGTTCTCTGCATTTCTCCTAACTTCTGCTGGCCCCTGGCCACCCTCGGCTCATAGGTGCATTGCCCCTCTCTGCCTTCCTTTTCCCAGGGCCTACTCAGTGTGCTGAAGCTCCAGATTCTGCTTCTTGTTAGGCCACTAGTTGATGCTGAATTAGGAACTCACAGTACTCTAGTTGACCTCACCTTAGCTAAATACATCACAGTCACTCTGTTTCCAAATCAGGTCGTTCTGAGGTATGGGTGGTTAGGACTTTAACATAAGAATTTGCCCATTGTGGTGGCGGGGGTGGAGGCATAAGTCACCAGTAACAGGTAAGATGCCTCTTAATTAACGGCAGGGTCTATGACTATGCCAGCTGTGGAAAGCATGGCTGCCTACATGACATTTCAGCTGTTGCCGATATTCCACAGTTTTGTTTACACTTGCTGTGACTTTGAAATTATAGTTTGTTTGTAGATTCTGTCAGACCGCATTAGTCCTAATAGTTTGTGAAGTTGCCCTACAATAATGGTCACAGATCGCCTAAATCCAGCTCTCTCCACACACCTTCAAAGAAACACGTAGCTGAACAAGTAGCACAAAGAAAAACAACCCACAATCATGTCTGCACTAGCACGAGTCAGGGGTTCCCAGGAACTTCCACTGACCTCTAAGTAATGGAAGCATTACCAGGATAATCGATGTCCTTTTCAATCCCACTTCAAGAGTCTAAAACCATTCTGAGGAGATGTCCTTAAGAGTCAGTCTATTGCCAAGTGGGTCAGTGGTGCCTGCAGCAGAGTAAGGAGCCTGATCTAGATAACCAGAGCTGAGTCTTGCCCAGGGATTTCCGTCCACCTGGACGCCTGTCTGCCTCAATATCTGTTATCCCAGCAGACATGTGGCTCTAAGAGAGCTCCAGAGGAGGTGTTCTGTGCCTCAACTGTGCCTCAGCTGTCCCACTGTCAGCATCCTGGCTGTGACATAGGGCAGACGCTACCACTAGGGGAAAGCCGCTAAAGGTACCTGAATGCCTCTGTATTATTCCTTATGACTTCATGGGACTTAACAGTGACCTCAACATAAAAAGTCAAGTTTAAATAATAAAGAGCTAGCCCGGGCTCCCCCTGTTCAGTCCAGCACAATAATGTGTCTTTGAATCCAGCGTCCACGTGTACAAGATCAGCTGTGGAAGACGTAACACCTCACCAGCCAGATGCCTCTGCCTGCCTTGAGCCTTAACTCCCGTGACTGAGTCTTCGCACTTCGAAAGAGCAGGAAGATCTTGATCCGCAGTCAAGGGCTCCCTGGGGGCCATGAACGACTTCTCCAGGTGCTGTCAGTTAGGAAACAGGCCCCGGGGGGCAGGATCCCCAGCTTCCGGGCATCAGCAAGACCATGTGAATAAGAACTAATCAGTATGTTGCTCGGCTTCTTGCTAGGCCCCACGTCTTGCGCAGAAGTCAATCAGAGGTCTGTGCTCAGCGGGGTCACTGTTGGAAGGTGGAAAGGGACCCTCCAAAGGGGACTAAGACATGGTGAGACTGACCTGGAAGACACTGCCTTTCTCAATGACAGCTGAAGATCTTCCTTTTGCATCCATTTTAATACCTGAGGTTTGAAAGCAGGTTGCCAACAGTTTCCCCTTTCCGATCATGAGCAGAACCAAAGCAGGCTGTGGGACCCTAGACCTGAGAAAGCTGCCCCCCACCTCTGTGACTCGGGCACTAGCAAGTTGGAGTGGAGCAGGAGGCTTTTATGGATTGTCAATATTTAAACACCTTGCTGGTAGCCAGGGGCCTGGATCTCAGCTGTCATCTATTTCAGGCCTCATTACACAAAACATTAAATGCTGTATCTTCTCATTTTCTCCACCGAAGCTCTCTGAAGACGTCCTCCAGGCAGGGAGTGGTTTACAAAGGTGGTGCAGGCCTGGTCTATGAGAAGCGGCGGCATGCTGGCTTTGCAGGCACTCTGCAGTAGGTGGGCCCTGTCGCCCCCAGAGGCCTCACAGCCTGATAGCTCCACATCCAGCCACATCCCTCCCCAGCCCTGGGAGACACTAAACTCATTGTCCGGGTAGCCGCTGCCCCGGGCCCAGGTAGCCAACAGATAGCAGAGTAGTCTCTTCCTCCTCAGTCTGCATCGTGGCTTCCAGCCTGCAAGTTCTGCTGAAGAGCCTCATGGCCTCCGTATGCTGGGGACGCAGAACTGAACAGCAGCTAATGAAACTGACACAGGGCTAGGACATAGAGCCCCTCTGATTCCCGGAGAGGGTGGCCCCGAGTGTAGTCTGAGGACATGGCCATCAGGTTCTACCAGGACAGACAGCAGCTTATTCATTTCCATAGCTATGCGTAAGTGTTCCCCAGTCCATGTACAAAGCTCCCTGGAAGACAGTGGCAACTATGCAGTGGGCAGATGTGGATGACTTATTTATACAAATCATTCCAAGGCATTTTACTGTGTAGCTCACGAAGCCTAATTTACATATTTACACAATACACTGGAATGGCACTAAAGGAACTATAAATATATTTTCCTCTCCAAAGCAGCCATGAAATACATAATTAGACCGTGCCT